TGATGGAGAAAAATGTCCCCAGGAGACATGATGTTGTCCCACTTTGGCATGTTTTGGGGGGGGGGTGGGGCGCACTAAGATAGACAGACAAATGATTGCCATATAGAGAGATTAATAAATCATATATATGCGTGTACATAACAATACAATAATATGAAATCATATATCAGCATGCTGCAGGCCCACACTCATCCCGTACACAGAGCATACATACATAGTTTATAATGTGTGTCCCCGGACCCTGGACAGGTATTGATGGGGGTCCTGATGCTGGGCTGTGTGTCCCCTGACAGTGATGAGGGTCCTGATGCTGGGCTGTGTGTCCCCTGACAGTGATGGGGGTCCTGATGCTGGGGTATGTGACCCCTGACAGTGATGAGGGTCCTGATGCTGGTATGTGTGTCCCCTGACAGTGATGGGGGTCCTGATGCTGGGATGTATGACCCCTGATGGTGATGGGGGTCCTGTTGCTGGGATTTGTGTCCCCTGATGGTGATGGGGGTCCTGATGCTTGGATGTATGACACCTGACAGTGATGAGGGTCCTGATGATGGGATGTATGTCCCCTGACAGTGATGGGGGTCCTGATGCTGGGATGTATGACCCCTGATGGTGATGGGGGTCCTGATGCTGGGATGTATGACCCCTGATGGTGATGGGGGTCCTGATGCTGGGATGTATGACCCCTGATGGTGATGGGGGTCCTGATGCTGGGATGTATGACCCCTGATGGTGATGGGGGTCCTGATGCTGGGATGTATGACCCCTGATGGTGATGGGGGTCCTGATGCTGGGATGTATGACCCCTGATGGTGATGGGGGTCCTGATGCTGGGATGTATGACCCCTGATGGTGATGGGGGTCCTGATGCTGGGATGTATGACCCCTGATGGTGATGGGGGTCCTGATGCTGGGATGTATGACCCCTGATGGTGATGGGGGTCCTGATGCTGGGATGTATGACCCCTGATGGTGATGGGGGTCCTGATGCTGGGATGTATGACCCCTGATGGTGATGGGGGTCCTGATGCTGGGATGTATGACCCCTGATGGTGATGGGGGTCCTGATGCTGGGATGTATGACCCCTGATGGTGATGGGGGTCCTGATGCTGGGATGTATGACCCCTGATGGTGATGGGGGTCCTGATGCTGGGATGTATGACCCCTGATGGTGATGGGGGTCCTGATGCTGGGATGTATGACCCCTGATGGTGATGGGGGTCCTGATGCTGGGATGTATGACCCCTGATGGTGATGGGGGTCCTGATGCTGGGATGTATGACCCCTGATGGTGATGGGGGTCCTGATGCTGGGATGTATGACCCCTGATGGTGATGGGGGTCCTGATGCTGGGATGTATGACCCCTGATGGTGATGGGGGTCCTGATGCTGGGATGTATGACCCCTGATGGTGATGGGGGTCCTGATGCTGGGATGTGTGTCCCCTGACAGTGATTTGGGTCCTGATGCTGGGATGTGTGTCCCCTGGCAGTGATGAGGGTCCTGATGCTGGGATGTATGACACCTGACAGTGATTGGGTCCTGTTGCTGGGATTTGTGTCCCCTGCCGGTGATGAGGGTCCTGATGCTGGGGTATGTGTCCCCTGACAGTGATGAGGGTCCTGATGCTGGGGTATGTGTCCCCTGCAAGTGATGAGGGTCCTGATGCTGGGGTATGTGGCCCCCGCAAGTGATGGGGGTCCTGATGCTGGGATGTATGACCCCTGATGGTGATGGGGGCCCTGATGCTGGGATGTATGACCCCTGACAGTGATGAGGGTCCTGATGCTGGGATGTGTGTCCCCTGACAGTGATGAGGGTCCTGATGCTGGAATGTATGTGCCCTGGCAGTGATGGGGGTCCTGATGCTTGGATGTGTGTCTCCTGCCAGTGATAGTGATGGGGGTCCTGATGCTGGGATGTGTGTCCCCTGACAGTGATGAGGGTCCCCATGCTGGGATGTGTGTCTCCTGCCAGTGACAGTGATGAGGGTCCTGATGCTGGGATGCATGTCCCCTGCCAGTGATTTGGGTCCTGATGCTGGGATGTGTGTCCCCTGACAGTGATGAGGGTCCCCATGCTGGGATGTGTGTCTCCTGCCAGTGATAGTGATGGGGGTCTTGATGCTGGGATGTGTGTCCCCTGACAGTGATAGTGATGGGGGTCCTGATGCTGGGATGTATGACCCCTGATGGTGATGGGGGTCCTGTTGCTGGGATTTGTGTCCCCTGATGGTGATGGGGGTCCTGATGCTGGGATGTGTGTCCCCTGACAGTGATGAGGGTCCTGGTGCTGGGATGTGTGTCCCCTGACAGTGATGAGGGTCCTGATGCTGGGATGTGTGTCCCCTGACAGTGATGAGGGTCCTGATGCTGGGATGTGTGTCTCCTGCCAGTGATTTGGGTCCTGATGCTGGGATGTATGTCCCCTGACAGGGATTTGGGTCCTCATGCTGGGATGTGTGTCCCCTGACAGTGATGGGGGTCCTGATGCTTGGATGTGTGTCCCCTGACAGTGATGGGGGTCCTGATGCTGGGATGTGTGTCCCCTGACAGTGATGGGGGTCCTCATGCTGGGATGTGTGTCCCCTGACAGTGATGAGGGTCCTGATGCTGGGATGTGTGTCTCCTGCCAGTGATTTGGGTCCTGATGCTTGGATGTATGTCCCCTGACAGGGATTTGGGTCCTCATGCTGGGATGTGTGTCCCCTGACAGTGATGGGGGTCCTGATGCTTGGATGTGTGTCCCCTGACAGTGATGGGGGTCCTCATGCTGGGATGTGTGTCCCCTGACAGTGATGAGGGTCCTTATGCTGGAATACAGGAAGGCACCCAGTGAAAGGTGACCTTGTACAATTCTTGTGTTTTGAGCCTGGGAATTGGCTCCCCGCACAGACTTCTATCCAAACCCTCTGTAAAGTCCCGCTGTAATCCTATTTAGCCGTGTCTGCCGCAGGTCATCCCAAGGAGGTGCTGAAGCTGCAGTGCTGGCCTCAGCCGCTGTCCTTGGTGCTGAAAGGACAGAGACTGCAGACGGTGAAGCATCTCCCCATGGCACCCAACACACACATTGCTCCTTACCTTGTGCTGCACATAGGGCGAGGGAAAGGACTCCTAGAGAGAGCATCCTGGGATCTGGCTGGTTGCAATCTGCTGGGAAATGCTGCAATCACTCCTTGATGTCCAATCCCTACACAAAATAAAAGAGGACAGTGTTACTGGAGGGGAGAGGATTGTATAGGAAGACGGAGCAGGCAGATTAGAGGTATCTGCTTAATAGGATGAGTAACATAACCACCTGCCTCCCTCCCCTGCTTGCTTTGGGTGCCTAGTGAGCACTGCAGCATTGTTTTATATATACCAGAGCTGGTGGAAGTGACATCATGCAGCCCCCCCCCCCCCACCCCCCCCCTCTCTGCACACCGACGGAGCAGGGGGGGTATGGAGCAGAGGAGGAGGAGAGGAGAGGTGGAGGGAAGGAGTGAGAGCATCTCTGCTTTGTATGGGGGACATACACGTATCACAAAGACCAATGCTCGCAGACTCTGTGCAAAAAAGTGATGTGCGAAAGATAATGGGTTTCATTGCTGGAGGATTGGTCAAAGCTGCGGAATATGCCGTTCAACATTTCCAAATGCCAAATAATGCACTTAGGGAAAATTAATCCTCTGATCTGAGAACAGTAACGGGGGTTCTGATTTCTCTATATAGATCTATAGTTATCACTAGAGGGATCCCCAGCAGGAGGAAGGAGGTCCTGAGGCACCCTGCAGAAAAGTCCCATGTATTACTGTGTGTGTGACACAATTGGAGAGTCTCCCCCAGGTTCCCACACGGATATGATGCAACAATTCTAAGTGTAGTGAGAAATCTCTATGACTGACCTCCCTGGCATGTGACCCTCTCCTGTTACCCTGTCCATTAAAATCATAATTCAGTTTAATTGTAAATGATCTTCAGGAAGCTCAGCTTGAGCCATGTTGTGCACCAGATAAAAATCAGATGGGCCCTGAGAGCAGAATCGTGCGGCCTCCACATCCAATCACTTACAATTCATTCATTTCATTCATCAGGCAGATTCTGCAGATGAAATTCCAATATGCAATCAATATGCGAGAGGACTCCGCTGCAACCCCATCCTGCCAGGCAGATCTGCTGATCATATTCATCGCCTTTATGGTAATTGGAAGTTCCTGTAGTCTGGCTCAGGGGTCATATTGGATGCAGATGTGCTCTGCACTTTACAATGCTAGGTGTTCAGCCAACCCAGTGGGAAGAACTTGGACCCCAAACATAACACGGCCTTGTCCCCTTGGTGAAGAACCTGTCCCCATGTTGAACATCATTGTCCATATGTAGAAGCACCTTGTTTCCATGTTGAAGCACCTTGTCCCAAAACTGAAGCTCCTTGACCCCATGTTGAAGCACCTTGACCTCTTAAGGAAGCACCTCGACCTCACGTTGAAGCACCTCGACCTCACGTTGAAGCACCTCGACCTCATGTTGAAGCACCTTGTACCTATGTTGAAGCACCTTGTCCCCATGTTGAAGCACCTTGTCTCCATGTTAAAGCACCTTGTCCCCATGTTGAAGCACCTTGACCTCACGTTGAAGCACCTTGACCTCATGGTTAAGCACCTTGTCCCCATGTTGAAGCACCTTGTCCCCATGTTGAAGCACCTTGACCTCACGTTGAAGCACCTTGACCTCACGTTGAAGCACCTTGACCTCATGGTGAAGCACCTTGACCTCACGTTGAAGCACCTTGACCTCACGTTGAAGCACCTTGACCTCATGTTGAAGCACCTCGACCCCACGTTGAGAGGACACCGGCCCAAGTCCAGTCCCCAAGAGACTTAGGGGATTTGTGGGGGGGCTTATTGAAATATGGAAGTCCCTTTATAATAAGGGAGTCCCTGTATATTGGGACCCCCCCCAGGAGGCCTGCAGGAGACCGATGACATCATCTCAGTCTAGGCAAGGTCACTGACTGGAGCTCAAGCAGTCAAGTGGACCTGTCAGTTGCTTTACAAGTCCGTGTGGAGACATTTCTGACATGTCACAATGTTCGTAGAACCAAAGATTCATTTTTCAGAAACTCTCCACCTGTTATCGTCTCATGCCGTCCTTCAACTCCATCACTGCTTCTGGCTTTGCTTGACATTGTTGTATATATTCAGCCGTGGCCGCGGATCTCCTCCGTGAACCCGGTGCACCCTGTGTACCTGAACCTGAATATGAGACGGGCCCCTAATCCCGGGCTTAAGCTTCACCCTGCTCACCTCCTGCGGCTGCCACAAACCAGCTGCTCTTCCATAATTTAATGTGTTTCTCATTAACTTTCCCCGGCTTGTACGGAGATCCAGAAATCACCACTTTGGCTCCGGTTACAGGTAAGCAACCGACAAGCGAAATGCGGCGACGACGGGAAATAAAAGTTGGTTATGCAACACAAAACAAACAATGTAAAAGTGAACGAAGCTGAAGTTTAATCTGCGGATCTCTTTCCTTCCCGGCTCCCTCGTCCTTCAACATGCTCATTACATTTCTAAATACAAGGTTTCCGCTTTCATTACATACCTTATTTTAGTGATGACATCACCGGGTCCAGGGCCGGCCTTAGGCCTTTAGGCGCCCTGTGCGAGAAAGCTTTACAGCGCCCCTCAGTGACCACACCCCTCAGTGGCCACACCCTTTAATGGCCACACCCCCAGTAACCACACCCATTTATCACCCATATTTTTGGTAAAATATAAAAAGCGGGGTCACGTCGGGTAAATAGACACCAAACATGTCATGCTTTAAAATTGCGCGCACCCGCAAAATCGCAAAAAATTACCATGCCCAAAATTGACCATAGGTGACGCTTTAAAAGCTTTTACCGCTCATCAGTTTAGTGTTATCAGTGATTGATAGCCCTACAATTATTGCTCTCATTCCGACGTTCGCGGCGATATGTAACATGTGCGGCGTAATGGGCGAAATCGTCGTTTTCACACGTATGCGCACCCGACGCCTGTTTGCATGCGTGTATGTATGGGGGGGACTTTAAAAAAAAATGTAATTCTTTTTTATTTGTAACTTTACATTTTTGGGGGGGAAACTTTATTGCTATCACATAGGGGGGTTAGAAAACCCCCTTATGTGATAGCAAAATATGTGACAGGTCCTCTTTATGGAGACATCAGGGGTCTCCAAGACCCCTAATGTCACCTAGG